GGTAACTAAATTCAATGATAAAAGAGACTTATGTTCAGATTCGGTTCACTCATTCTTATGGTTGATTTCATGGCAAGTGCAATGGATTAATATATCAATGGTTACTGATTTCTAATGTGATTAGGTTCATGTTCACTATTACTAATCCTTTAGCAAACAATTTAATTCAAACAATGGTCAAGTGATTAAACTAACAAGTTCCCTAATGTTTAGTTCGAATCAAGTAAGACTTGTAATATTAGTTAACTAAATTTGTCAACTCCATTAACTCATATGTGGTTGTTCATCGCACATGCTCACACATCAACTTACTTATTTCCTAGTTAACCCTAGGTTCATGTTCACTAATACTAGGCATACAATCTTGTTTCCACAAAACTATATGATTCAAGAAATTAAGAAGATGCTCATACAATTCAATAGACTTGATTATTCATAGAAAATAATTATCATTACCATGCAAGGATCTTTTAACAAGCTTAACAAGATAAATAACCAAATCAAATTAATCTAAACCACTCAATCAAACCATATTCATAAGATCATCTAGTCAAAAAAGAAGTATGAAGCTTTTAGCTCATAACTATTGCAAATAGCATCCTAAAATCAAAATCTAATGATTCAAACATGGTTCACACAAAATATTAAGATAAAAGTAATGTTTGTTTTCCTTTGATCTCTTCAAAATTGACTTCTAGGTTGAATTCTCGAAAACCACAACTTTAAAAAGACTTCTGGCCTCTAAAAATCATCCAAAGCTTCCAAAATTAGTTGGGTTTCAAATGAAAGTGATCCTATATATAAATTCTGAAAACAGAGCCAACTCGATGAGTTTTTGGGAAAAACTCGTCGAGTTTTTCTTTTAAATTGCGTGTAAGGCAAGTTAGCATCAAGAATCGTGAAACTTCTATTCAACTTGTCGAGTTTGAGGCAACTCATCGAGATTGATTGGAATCAACATTTTCTCAAAACATGAAAGTCATCCAAAATTGTATCTGGTTTTCAGAACATTTTGAATCTCGTCAATCGGAGTTATGATTCATGAGATATGGCCAAAACACTGACGATGGATCAACCTGTCCAACATCATCCTTCTTTCTTCAAAATCCAAGATCCAAGCTTCCAATCGCCAATTCTGCTTCCTTTTCCTGCCGAACAGGTATTTATTGCTTAAATGAAAATTTAAAACTAATTAAGCATCTTTTGTTCATTAAATGAGATAAAATCAACATAAAGAATTAAGATAATGCATAAATTTAATAAATAAATATGTCCATATCAAAATACCCCACACTTGACTTTTTCTTGCCCCCAAGCAAAACTGAGTTTTATCCCACTAGTATCATATAAGACAATTCCAATCAAACCCAACCATCATGACAAGACCGCAGCGCATGCAATTGTGTCTAAAAATTTTCCTAAGGACCCCCCTAATCCTAAATACTTACAATCCTCATAAACACTCGTCCACTTATTTTGAACAACTTTCATTTTATGCATCCCTCCGAATCCATCCCCAGAAAACTTTCTTAACCTCAAGTCATTTTTTGTTAAATTCCCAATCATACATATGGTAAAATGTGACATCCCCAATTTCACGGACAAAAAAGACCGGTTTAATTTATGCTTTTAAAATAATTTTAGAGTAATCCTTTGATTAAAAGAGTGGTGGAATTTGTTCCCAAAACACAATATGATAAATTAAAGTTTATCAAAAACATTTCTTAAAGAAATATATTTTCATTATATAACAAAACTCGAGGTGTCATGTTCCGATATAGACCAAAAGCATAAACAATACAACATAGACCTTATAACAGTTATTTACAACTACTGGTCTATAAACAAAAATATCTTTACAAGTTGTCCAACGTATTCTCTCTCGCCACTACCTGTAATATAAAGAAACTGAGTGGGTCAGGCTTGGGAGCCTGGTGATCATATACGGTTTTCAACCCACAATAAATAATTATATTTAATTTCACCAACCAACAATAACCCGATTACCCATTCCCGTTATCCTCATTATACGTCCCTAAAACAACCATTACAATGGACCTAATCTAGGATTTTTCATCGGGATGGACACTACTGCAAAAGGGATTCCTCAACAATAAATGTCCTAAAGGCAACCATGAGGGGGATAGAGTACACCGGTGAACACATCGTTCACAACACCTACAGGTTATGAATGTGCCAGCGTTCCACTGGACTGTCTAAAAAGAGTCTGTGGTCGTCATTCATACTCTGCTAGATGACTAGATCAACAACAACATTGAGGCCTATCATCATTTTATTTCATCACACATCCACTATCTACCCATGTTCTACCCAACACCTTAGTGTGTGTGTATATATATATATATACACACACACACACACACATACATACAGCATAAAACATGTATAAAACATTCAATCAATACTTATTTCAAATAACACATAATATATACACACATAGCACATATTATATGGAAAATCTTTTCTTCTCGGGATCTTCGGGGCTTCAGGACTTGCTTCGGGTGTCGGGATGATATCGGGACTTCAGGGGTATTTCTTGCAAAATAGAAGAAAGAAAAAGGGGTGAAAGAAATGAAAAATAGCAACAAATATGGTTGCCCTCGCATCTTATTTATAGGGTGGGTCTGGCCCCCGAAGGCAGCGCGTTCCTTGAACGAACGCAACGCGTTCTCGAACGCAGTGCGCTCCTTGGACGAACACAGGGTGTTCCGGTGCGTCATTGCTTACCGAGCTTTGGAAGTGATGGGATATGCGACTAGAGGGCGACGTGGCCAATCCGAGGCCGGGTATTGCGAACACGGGGCGTTCCCCTTCTGAACGTGGGGCGTTCCCTCCGGATAAGCTTCAGATTTTATTTATTTATTTATTTTATTTAAAAACTTCAAAAACTAATATCTTTTGTATACGAGCTCTATTTTCGACGTTATTATATTATTTTTAGTAGGCTGGGACAGGAAAACTCTGTTAGAAATTCATAACTTCTTCATATGGTGTCAGTTTTTCTCTGTCTTTTTACCGTTAAACTACTATTAACGAGATCTTTGATTCTCGTTTAGATTGTTCCAACTAGAAATCACTCAATCTCATATTCGAACTTTGGGCTGCATACTGCTAAGTCGAAACTTCAAAAAATCATAACTTCCTCATACGAAGTCAGATTTAGACATTCTTTGTATGCACGTTTCGGTTTAATGTATTATATGACTTTCGTTTAGATCACTAGGGCTAAATATCGTTCCATCGTAAATTCACTATTTATATTTCTCGGTGCCATGCCGGTTCCATCACGAAACTTCGACAGGTCATAACTTATTCGTTATAACTTGGATTTCCGCATTCTTTATATATTCAGAAACCTTGTCACGACCACTACAACTTCCTTCATAGATATTGGTTTTATCTAACATTTTATTTTATCGCTTATTTTCATCCTTAATTCATTTAAGTCACCCAATTAAGCATAAAACACATAATACTCAAATAATATATTTTTATTATTTCAAAACGAGTTACAAAGGTTAACCTAGACTATTACATGAACATTAATGCCTAGCCTAGAAACATGAGCGTTACATAAAATAACCTAGAAAAGAAAAATACAAAAAAATAAAAGACCTTATAACTTTTTGTCTTGAATCTTTGCTGCTTTGTAGCTCTTTCTTCATGTCTTCATACTTGTAGATTCTTTCAATTTTTCAGCACTCTTTTTTTCATTTTTTAATCTTTTTTTTTTTCAAACTCATTTTTTTTTCACTTACAATAAAAACCTAGAAAAACATATGCGTAAGCAAGGGGATTCAACTTTGTACTTTATTGATTAAAGACATTAGTCTCATGTGCAATGACTACTTAAGCTTTCCTAGATATATTTCTGCTACACGATGCTAAACATGTTGCATCCTTCAAACTAAGCGATGTTGTGTTTTTGTTCCATAGTTTCAATAGAATAAAGGGGGCCACAAATACATTATAACGTATATTGACTCAACTAAACATTTAGGTCCTCATAGAATCATCAAAAATAATACTAGCATGTAATCCTAATTGCTTATACCAAAATTTTCTAAATTAACCATAGCAATTTTTATGCAATTTTTTTTTAAAATTAAACCAAGGATTCAAATTTGACTAATGTAACCAACCCCCTACCCCACACTTAATTTACTCAATGTCCCCATTGCATGTTATGCATGATAAAGATCATATAAGTAAAGAGAGAATTGGAACAGACTCCCCTGGGATAGAATTTGCGAGGTTGATCTTCTTCTTTTTAAGCTCCATCTTCAGCTGACTTTGGCATGGGAACAGCTCATCCACGCCTTGGGTGTCATATCTCTCGCATGGTTGACAACTATAAACCACATATACTAAAATATTTATTAGAAACAGTTTTTATATGTAATGTATTCAATATATTAAAGTCTCATTAATTTTAATAATTCAAATTTTTTTTGATTTTTCTTATAAATTCAAAAATTTCAAATTATTAAAATTTCAAATTTATTTATTTTAATTAAACTAATATAATACATGGATCTTATATTCATTAAAAAACTAGTTTATAACCCGTGAGAACCACGGTTATAAAATTAATTAAAATTTTAAAGTAAAACTCAAAATTATTAATTAATTATTTTAAACAAATTAACAATTAAGAGATTTTTTAAGTTATATAAATGTTAATCATTTATTTAAAAAATATATGAAATTATATCATTTTATAAATTGTATTAATTTTATTTTAATTTTTATTCTAATGTTATTCATTTAATGTAATTAAAGAAGAAAATTTAAAATTTAAAGTTTGAAATGGAGTTGACAAATGACATATATTAATTTTGGGTCATAATAGGATAAAACATGACAAAAAAAAAATAAATATACATTAATTAGAAAATGAAATTTGTCAAAAAGAAAATACAATTATCTTTTTAATAGAATAAGGTAAATCTAAAATAAACCATTTATAGATAATCGATATGGTATATCCTGTTTCTATTTCCCGATTGTTTTTGGAGTTGTGCAAGATCCGTTGAAATGTCTTTTTCTGGATAAAATGTCGACACTTATTCATCTTTAATATTACTCTACTCTGCTCCGTCGGAAGTCGTCGACTATTCTCCGGCGACTTTTATTGCTTTGGTTAGTTAAAATTCGTATCAGTTATTGGTTGAAACAAGTCGATTTTGATGTTTTCAGATCAAATTTGCTTTTCAACTCTAAAATTTCTATCAGCTCTAACATATCGTGTAAGATTGGTCAATCGAACCTCATATCAGGCGATATTTGGTATAGAAATTGATTAGATAAGTTATCGGAAAACCCTCGTTCAGCAATGTGTCGATTTCTTCATTTTTGATTTTGATTTTTTGGGTGCTAATTGAATTGAATCGGAGATTCGGAGGTATGGGGTTCGAAGAGACGTTTACGGCTTATTTAGTGGGAGATGAAGGGAAGGATCCAAACAAAAGCTGTCATTTTGAGTACAAGAAGCTCAAGAATGATTTGAACTTTTGCAGGCGTCATAAAGATACTGAAGCTTCAACTGATTCTCATGGCGATGGAAACTCCGAAGATGATCTCAATCAAATTGTTCCTCATCAATCCTGCCATCGTAAGTTTCCTTTTCCTTTTGTTCTTTTTATCATCAATTAAACCCACAATTATATACTGTATGTGTTGTTATTATAGGGTGTGAGGGGATATTCTCTGAATTAACAATGGAAGCTACCATGATATCTGATAATTTCAGTTTCAGAGTCAAGCAGCTTGTTCATCTTCATTTCACTCCAGGCATCCAAAGATTCTTATGTTGGTTATTTCAATGTTTCAAAGATGATCACGAAGCACTTGTACACAAAGGATTGACGCTAATCCAATTTGTTGTCATGAATGCTATCGCACTCAGAAAGATTCTTAAAAAATACGACAAAGTAAAGCCAATATAATCACTTCGTTTCAATTCTTGTTCTTGAATCTTGATTTTATATTATATGTCTCTGTCTATCTATCAAAACAGGTGCATGAATCTGCAAGTGGTATGAACTTTAAGTCCAAATTACAAGCCAAACACTTGGACATTATGCAATCTCCATGGTTGATTGAATTAATAGCTTTCTATATGAATCTCAATGGGTCAAACAGTTTGACTTCTGATGAGCTTTTTGGTCAACTATCTTATGATCTCAACATGCCCAATGAAGAGTCTATGCAACTAACTCTTACACTCGTAGGTTCTGAAAAATTGGAGTATAGTCTCACGTGTCCTATTTGTTTGGTATGTTTGAAAAATAAACATTTAATTTAATTGCGAAATCCATTAATTAATGTCTTTTTATAAAATGGTGAATTCAGGACATTGTTTTTGAACCATATGCGTTGAGTTGTGGACACATTTTTTGCAAGTCATGTGCTTGTTTGGCGGCTGGTGTATTGATCATTCAAGGGTTCAAGTATGCAAGCCCAGGCTCCAAGTGTCCAGTTTGTCGAGAGGTTGGATCATGGATGATGCTATAATGAGCAAAATCTTTTTTTTTTGTGTATATAATTATTTTAATTAAAAAACATGGACTAATATTTTATATTTAATTATTTAATATGGTAATGGTGTGGTTTATTTATTTTTTATTTCAGAGTGGAGTGTATGGTAAATCAGTGTGCATGTCTGAACTAGGTTTGCTCTTAAAAAGAAGGTAATCTTTGAGAATTCCATACCCACTCCATAAAATTACTTTTCATAATATTTATCTATAACACAAACGCTAGTTAAAAACATCGAAGAAGACAAATAATTCCTTTCACCAATGCACTAAAAAGATTGAATCATCCGATTTGATACTTTGAATAAAGTAATTTAGCAGGTTATATGCATTAAAATTACAATCTAGGTATCCAATTCTTTTTAAGCTAAATAATTTAATCTATAGATAATATAACATAAATTAACCCATTAATAAACCTAAAAGTAATATTGTTATCTAAAATGTAATCTTAATTTATTAGTAACCGGATTGATATCATAAACTTATAACGTCTCTCCTATGTTCTTAAAATAGAAATCGATTAAGACTATGTTTAACAGACTAACTGAAAAGTTAGCTGGTAGCGGATAAAAAATGATATTTCATAAAAATTAATTAATAAACTAGTTGGAAGTTTTAAAATGATATATATATATATATATAGAAAAATATGTTTATTATAATTAATTAAGGGTACATACGAGAGAATTTGGAAAAAAAACTCTATAAGTTGGTTGAAAAGCTATTCTGAGTAGTTTCTTTTTTTAAAAGCTAGCTTATCATATATTTTTTAGCTTGTGAAATATGACAATCTAAAAAAGATCGAGAAATAAATTAGTTGCGAGAAACATAACATAAGGTATTTTTTTTACATAAAATTTGCATAATGATAGATCAATGGATGAAACTGTTAGCTTAGGTTTGTTGCATTTAATAGCTCAAGAATAGCAATGGCCAAAGGTTTGAGATACTTGCATAATATATAATCTTATCATGGTTAATGTTTTTGGTTATGTAATATTTATGGTGTTAAATGTTATATACATTTTTTAAAAGTGATTCTTTTATTTTTGATATCTCGTACACTAGAGTATAAAAACAACCTAACATTTGGGGTATCTGTAGGTATAAAGATGGATTTAAGAAGAGACTGATGGAAGAGCGAGAAAGAATATTAACCCAAACTAAAGAATATTGGGAGTTGCAATCAAGTTATTTGATGGGCTTATGACATTTCAGCGTGCTCGATTTTTTGGTGTTTGTTCGCAAGCTTTATTGTGTACAAAAGTTTGTTATGTACATAAAAACTTTGTATGTAGAATAAATAGTGTTGAAGTAACTGATATAGTTTAACAAATGAATTGAGTTATATTTTCATTAATAATGACAATCTTCGAAATAAAAATCTTGTAGATAGGCTAAGGATCCATTCAGGAATTGCATTGATAGAATTGTTTGATTTTTGTGATGCCTTGTAGCCTAGGAGATTGCTTGTTGTGTGCTACCTGTAGTTTATACTGATACTACTAGTTGTTAAGTATATGTTTCATAGTTGTACATAATTAGTATTTTATAGCCTTAGAATGTATGATTTAGCCTTACTTTATGTTCCTTGTTTAGTTGTGATATGTGCTCAGGCTGTCGGGTCTTGATGTCTAAGATTTGGACTAGAGATCTAGAAGTGGTGTCGTTAGCGAGTTCCCAGTGAGGTACCTAGCTGCAATCACAACAACGTTGTTAGAGTTTCCCTAGGTATTGTGCCACGGGAGCAAGCTCCGACGATCAAGTTAGATCAGGTGGTAGATATTTTATGGGTCTTCCTAGCTAGAGAGAACCATCTTGGCATGTTGGGTGTGTGTTTGGCCATAATGGAGGCTGATCTCCCAAGGAGGGAGATGCCTGAAGGTGAAAGGGTCCTGCTCCATGAAGGAGGTCATGTTCTATTTATATGGGACAATTAGGACAAGGGAGAGCTAGGTCAGGCCTTGGGTCAGCCCAACTCAGGCCCAACTAGCAATGAGTTGAGTAAAGCTGCCTAGTGGTGCCAGGTGAGCTCCAGGCGCGACTTGGAGGCCCGCACCAGGCGAGGCCGATGGGCTGGTGCCACACAAGGCTGATAAGCGAGCGTCAGGAGAGGGCTAGGCAAGGCTGGCGCGCCAGAGTTGCCTAGGCCATGTTAATGGACATGCTACCAAAAAGTCTGTAACATTTACATTTCAAGTATTTCCCCTTTTGCCATTAACTTGAAATTCTTCCATTTTGGTCCCCAACCTAGTACGTTGGGCGTACGCTAGGAGTACGATGGGCGTACTGGGTCGATATCTTGATCGCGGAGGCACCCACGTATGCAGGGCGTAACACTATCTCGGACAAACCCTAATTTTTAGGGTTTAAGCCCTATTTAAACACCTTAAGCTGCCCTTGGACCTTCTTGTGACCAACCTCCACCTCTCCAATTTGTAACATCTCGAAAATCTCAGGGTAAAATTTCATTTTTAAAATAATGAAAACACTCATTTATCATTTATTCAAACTCTTAAAGGTATTTTATAATAAAAGTAGTTATCAGAGTACAATCCTAAAATCTCAAGGTTACGGAAAATATAGGTGTATGAGCTGCGATCAAGCCAACCCTTCCCTTTCGAACTAGAAGTACGTGAAACTATAAACAACAATTGTAAGCAAAAGTTTAGTGAGTCCCAAAATAGCACATAACATACAACCACGGAATACCATGCTACATACATAAGGTTGCCATGGGCTACCCCTATGGTCTTTACCTAGAATGCCATGAGCTACACACCTGGTCTGATATCTAAGTGTTATGGGCTACCCTCATGGTCTTTATTTAAAATGTCATGGGCTACCCCCATGGTCTAATATCCAATTGTCATGGGCTACCCCATTGTCTTTACCTGGAATGCCATAGACTACTCCTATGGTTTGATATCCAAGTGTCACGGGCTACCCCCAGGGTCTTTAGACAATTAATTGCATAACAAGTGCTAATCCACATGTCAGATAATGGGTCAGCATTGGTGCCTTCGAACCATTGGTATAGTGAGGAGATTCACCTCAATCCAAGATAACCGAATACTCGAGCCGCTGCTGCCGGAATCCTTGCAATAACATCAACAAATATATTTCATCAATAATCAGATCCCAACCCAATCAAGGATTCTAGACCAATAACCAAAGCTTCATGGTAAAAGTCTACTTTAACCTTTTTCTTTACTTACCAAAATACAAAGACCAACATCATAAGTCTAATCCCTTAAATGACACCACATGGCCCAATAAGGTCTAAATATACAAATTGGGCCCAAACCCATCATGGGCCTAACCAGAAAAGGCCCAATATCCTAAAAGTCCAAAATAACCAAAGGTCAACCCTGGACATATTTCTGGTCAATGATTCTTGGTCAACAAGTCAACATTTCAAGAAAAGTCAACCAGGCCGAGTACGCCCCTGCGTACTCAGCTGATACACCCAATGTACTACCTTTGGGGCTAGTACGTGCAGCGTACAAGATGGGTAAGCCCAATGTACTTCCTTGAACCCCATCCTACTCCATTATACACTTAATAACGTAAGCCAAAACGTCCAATGCTCAGATCTAGTTCCAAAACATGCCTTAATCCATAAAGTTCCTAACTTTGAGCTTTTTCATGGCTTAATGAGTCCCAAATCCATGTTCTTACTTTAAAACTTCATCAAAGAGGCTAAAAAACATGCATTAGTTGATATCAACAATCAAGATCACATTTTTATGCATTTGGGACACCTAACACATCCAGATCTAGTGTCCAAACCCTTAGGATAAGCTCAAACTCATAAATACAAGCCAAATGGACCAAAAGCCACCCCCAAATAAGATCTAACCAAAGAGATGTCAAGATCAAATCTTTTTAACTTCAATAGATTGCAAAACATGAAAAACTTATGGATCTATAAGTGGCCCTCTAAGTGATGATTCTTAAACAAGCTCCAAACTCTTCAAAGTGCACAAAAAATACTCCAATATTCTTCATAATGGCTTAAAAGCTCCAAGATTATGGGTAAGGGTCGACTATTAGATTTTAGGAGACTTAGAGGCTTATAAAAGACAAGGCTCATGACGAAATGAGGTTTAAATAGGGTAAAGAACCAAAAATTAGGGTTTCATGGCTGAAGGGATTATGCCCAGCGCACCCCTTAGTACATTTGGCGTACTTGAGAGACATCTGTAATATGGCCATGCACTACACCCCGCGTAAACGACGAGCACACCATGTGTAGTCGATGAGCCTTCTATAACACTTAACTTCAACTAGACATAACTACTTTGCTCTGAGTCCATTTCCAACGAACTTTATATCCATGGAAAGGTGATGGGAATCCATTTACTTCTAACAACTCACCATCTCCTTAAAACTTCATGAACAAAAACCCAAAATTCATAAATGCCCGAACTGCCGAATTACGATAATACCCTTGGGCTCTAACACACAATCGAACTCTTGGATTATGAAATATATAATATCCACATCTAAAAAGGGCCAAGTCACTTCTTCCCCAAGGCCCTAAGCCGTATGGTAACTGATGATCGGGTCATGGCACCGAATATTAAAACGATTCGAAACCAAGTGATACACAACCCCTGAGAATGAAACCCTAATTACCTTTTGACTGTTTTGAGGTTGGAAGTGATCTTTGAGAATGTTTTTGGTGATTTTGAAGGAAGAAGAGCTCTTGTAAGTTTCATTAGTGTGGTTTGAGCTTATGGATCCAGAATCATTACTAACTTGGAAATATTTTGGAGATATAAAGCTCTTAACTTGATAGTTCATTATGATAGATCCAATTAGGGTTTTTTTGTGCCTTTTATGGTCTTTTAAGTCATTCTTGAGAGTATGAGCTACTCTAGAAGCTAGGGATGGTAGATCTTAGCATTTTTGAGGTCCCTTATGCATAAAAATGCAATCTTGATGTGTTATATTGGACCATGGAAGAGTTAGGGTTCTTATTACGGGTTTTATTGGTTAAAAACAAGTATTGGGTCCCATTAAGTCATGCAAAGGAGTAAAGTTTCCAAATTTACATATTAAGACATCATTTAGCATCAGATCCGAGAAGTGGCCAAAGGCGGTGTACCTAGATCGTATGCAGGGCATAAGTCTAAGTATGTTGGGCGTACTCAGCAGCTGTTGTCACACCCCCAAACCAGAATGGCGGAAACATTCGGGGGTGGATGACTTCACGTAGTATCACAACAATTAAATATTGTAAAGAAAGTAACACAACCATCATATATATAATGAAAACATATATTGTTGCGTTATACATATTATCAAAAGAATATTACAATATGATGATAAATGTTCAATAATAAAAACATCCTTAGTGTTCCTTCTCCAAAAGCTGGTAGTTACCTGTATTACTGATTCCCTGAGAAGTACAAGTGGTTTTGAAAAAGTGTCAACAATTAAGTTGGTGAGTTCATGAATTGTTTTGCATTGAAAAGTGTGTCCTTTTTAGTAGTAAATCAATGAACGAGGTTTTCAGAAAATCCAATATTTTCTATAAATGGTTTGAATAGTTTTCAGAATTAGTATGTTCCATACTAGAATAATAAGGATAACTGTGTGCCAAAATGATGTAGAAAAACTAAATGCATAATGATTCTCGTAAATCAAACTTGTTTTTATACTTTTATGTGAGTTTTATAACCATACTATTGACATTGATGGCCTGTAACAACATTCTTCCGGTGTTGTAGTGTTATGACATTTGTCACCCCAGACCTGCCGGTCTAACTATAGCTAATAGTTTAGGTGCGGGATTGTCAATCCCGTATAGATCTATACACAAGTATCACGCTCTCCCTCCAAGAGATTATGGTATATAATACAGGACTTAAAATGCATACTAGAACGTACGTGAAATTTGAATGTCTCACATTACTTGGTATAAACAGATTTACGGTAATAAAGACTTTACTTCTTTTGAAAGTATTTCGTTTGTCAAGAGGTATATGTATAATGTAAAAATAACTTGATAACTATATCCATTATAGTTTCTCAAAAAGTATGTTTCCATTTTGTAAGAACAACTTAGTGTTATAATAGCCCTTTAAACATAAAGATATTTGTATCAAAGCCCTATAAGAACGGTATTATAACTATGTTTATAAAACGATACTTTGATTTGTAATGTACTTGTATTCCCCCCCTAAAACGTGAAAAGAATTGAAAAGTAGGGGTATGAACTCACTCGTTAAGTTTGAAGAGAGAGGCTAGGGTTGAGTAGAACTTCGACCGCGGATAGTTGCGTCGTCGGGCTCTTCGGGGATCTCTGCAGCGTAAATCTTTCGTTGGGGCTCGAGTGCGGAAACCGAGGTCGTCGGGACAGCTTCTTGTGCTTGGAAGTGTGTGAGAGTAACTGGAGATTTGAGAAAGTGTGCCT